CCCACGAAATATAATTGACATCAGCCGAACCGGTAAGATCCAAGCCATACCGAATGTCTCAAAAACAGAGATTTCGAAGGCCGAAATACGGCGCATGTTAGAGCTTGGGGTAATCGAGCCCACTGAAAGTGACTACACGTCCCCACTAATACTTGTAGAAGCCCCTAATAAAGACCACCGGAAATCGAATACTATCACTAGGGATCAGTTGTACCCTATACCCAATATTGAGGAGCGAATCGAAAGGGTCAGCGCAGCCAAGTACATTTCCACGCTAGATCTCGTAAAAAGATACTGGCAGGTTCCTCTCTCAGAAAGTGCCAGCCGATATGCCACATTCATTTCACCTTTCGGCACCTTCAGACCCTTAGTTCTTAGCTTCGGGCTAAAAAACGCCCCTTTCAGCTTTTCAAAGTTAATGTACATTGTACTAAAAGAACTGCAAGACTTTGCACTCCCATACCTAGATCATGTCGCAATATTTTCTGACAGCGGGGAGGACCACCTCAAGCACCTAAAAAGGGTATTTTCGCGCTTTAGAGAGGCAGGTTTGACCATGAAAGCTGAGAAATGTAATTTTGGCTGCTCTCAAGTCACTTACCTAGGTCATGTTGTGGAGCAGGGAAGGAGGCAGCCGGCGGAACTAAAGACAGACGTGATTGCCGGGTTTTTACGTCCACGTACTAAGACCGATATTCGGTTATTTCTGGGACTTGTGGGGTACTACCAGCGTTACATCCCCAATTTTCCGCAATGAGCAAGTCCTCCTACAGACGCGTTGAGAAAAGGGGAGCCCAACCGCGTGCAAAGGGATGAGGAAAAGAAGCGGCATTTCAGGGTTTGAAAGCATCACTCGTTTCCCGACCTGTGCTACGTGCACCGGTCTATGGTAAGGAATTTATAGTTCAGTGCGACGTCAGCGACAGGGGCATGGGCGTTGTGCTTAGCCAGGTTAACGACAATCAAGAAGAGCACCCTATTCTCTATGTCTACCGCAAAGTAACGGTCTGAGAAGAAGCTTACAGCGCTTCCGAAAAAAAATGTGCCTGTTTGATTTGGGCAGCCCATAAGTTGTCATGTTACTTGTATAAAGCAAGGTTCATTTTTGAAACAGACCACTGTCCCCAGACATGGCTCAATCAAATGTCGCACAAAAATGGTCGCTTGCTCCCATGGAGCCTCACCCTTCTGCAGTATAACTTCGAGGTTCGTTATAAGACAGGTAAATTGCACAACAATGCAGATGGCCTTAGTAGACTCGTCTGAAAAGAGCCGTTTTAGGGAATGAAAGGACAGTTCATTTTTTTACGGCTTTTGACATTGTATGACCAAAGGTGTTCGATTTAGTTTATTTTAGTTTTACGTCTTACTCCATGAGTGTAGTAAGTTTGGCGGCACCAAATTGTCTCAAAATGTTAGAGTACAGATTTTTCTTTTGTTTGTGTTTCTTGAGAAGCCCGGAGGGTTTTAAGCGGGTCCAATGTGCTTCACTGCGGCATGGTATTGTGTTGTGGGGTTCGCCTTGCTGTTGTCGATCATTGTGAGCTGGTTTGAAAGTTGATTACGAGTTCACAGCTGGAGGGTAAAAGCCAGGCCATCGTCCTCGTCACCAATCATTTTCTTCGTGTCCAGCGGTCGGGAGCGCTGGCCTGCCGAGATGTTCCGGGCGGCGGAGGAGCTAGCTGTTAAGTTTGGCCTGGAAAATGCTTACGCACAATGGCGTCCGGGCAGACGCCATTGTGCGTAAGCCGGTCTACTGGGGAGGCTCCCAATCCCTTCGGCGCGTAGTCTGCCAGACGCTGTCCAAGATTTGAGCAATTACCCAGACCATGTGGCAAGCGAAGGCGAGTTCCTGACTTTCAGCTACGGACCCTTTCGTCATCTCTTCGAGCAGAAGCGGTGACTGATGCCCTCGGCGACTCATCTGGAGATGGGGAAGCTGTTGTGACCGGCGCCAGAGCTGACGGGGCAGCGGCGCTCTTTTAATCCTCAATCACGTAGCTGACCGGCGGGCTGCCTATGCTCGCCAGGCATTGTCCCTGCTAGCCCGAGGGTGAGACGTCGTGTCACCACGACGCCGTTAACCGTTCGAGGGAGGACAACAAAGACAGTATCTTCCTTGGAAGAGACCGCGGCGGCCACCGCAAATCACCGCGCTAATTTGGCGAGCTGTGCGGCGGACCTTTTGATGTATCTGTCAGGAGCTTGGTACCTCTCGACTAGCGGCAAACACACGACGAGGAAGAGCCCCGCTGGCGCCACCTTGCAGTGCAGTGATCACGACTCAATATTAGACGTTCACGTGGACCGTGCATGCTTGTCCCCCTCACCTGATGTGTGTGTGTGTGTGTGTGTGTGTGTGTGTGTGTGTGTGTGTGTGTGTGTGTGTTCCACTCAAAGAGGAGGAGCCCGACAAGGCTTAAAAGGACGCCGCAGAGTGCTGGACGCCTCTCTGAACCATGTAACGGTTCAACCACCATGCTCGTGGTTTGTGAAACCACTAACCCTTCTTTGCTGTAAATACGTGTATGTAATGCCGTAAAACCTGTTTGTTTTTTGTATCCTCTTCTTGTCAGCGTTCGGTTCCTCCACCCGGTTACACCACGTTACCACAGGAGACCAGGTAGACCCCATTCGCAACAACTGGTGGCAGCGGTGGGATGCCATCAGCAACTTCCTCCTTCCGACCCATAACAAGAGGCAATGACTTTCGCTTAGGTCTCTGAGGCGTAACACCTCGAAGACTAAGGGGCGAAATAATGACATAGAAGGCACATTTCATAATGTGCCTTCTATGTCACTGTCTGAGCAGCTCACTGTCTGACCTAACGCATGCACTTCATATTGATCACACATACCACATTTATTGGACTCAAGTGAAGCTAGCGTTAGCTGACGCATCGCTGAAGGGCTACGCTATTATAGAGCTTGTTCATTCATATTAAATTTTCTGTATGAGCTCATGTTATATACAATATTATCACTACACATTTCAAGCGCTTTGCGTTTTCTTGAGCTGTTGATATGATGTGTCTTATAAAAATGATATTTTCGAGGTTTTCTGTAAGTTGTGAGTCACCTTTATTAGCTAACAAGCTCTCATTAGAGTTAATGTGACTTCGTGCATAACGAGAAACTGTTTAAAAAGGATGCATAACCGATGAAACAAGCATACATAAAAGAACGTTTTCCTAGATGAGTTAGCGGGTAGCTTTGCTGAAAATTTTATTTGAGGTGCAAAGCTTGGAACATGAAGGCGGGAAAAGAGCTTAAGGACGTCTTTGCACTTCTTTGGTAGTCCCCTTGCAAACTTTTCAATGAGCCCGTTCAAGAGATTTACTTCGCAATTAGGTGAAAGAGCACGGAAACATTAGCAAGCAGAAGTTCGCCGATGAAGAGAAGATCTAGTTCTGAATTCCCAAGTTGAACAGCGTGGGACAATCAAGAAGCAAGTTCCTCGTCCGGAATGCCCATGCAATTCTGGGCCTCCACTGACACTTCTCTATCGAAAGAGACACCAGTGATAGAGCTCTTAAGATAATCACGTGTGAAATGCCCCTCATTTGAAGGCAGTACAAGATGAAGCATGGGCACAGCACGCGTTATTATGAGTTGACAAAAGACACAGAACTGCAAGTTTGCTTGACTCCCATGTTCCTTCTCTGCGAAATTCACTGACAACTATAGGAAAACTACACTGTCATCTGGGATCTAAGAGCAGTGTGCTCCGTCAACAGCATTAGCCCAAACATTATTGTAGGATCGATGGCATATGGGCATCACTTGATACCTTCGAGCTAGTGGTGGTCATCTACTCCCATAGGTGATGCTATTGATAGCACTCCCGTTCATTTTAGAGGTAATCGGGCACATGTTATTGGCACCGAAAACTTCTTGTGACACACCACGTCCTCGTCGGTCCCCAAGAAACTAAAGGCTACCCACAAGAATTGAGGAATATATTTTTATGTGCCTTGAGAGCTTTGTGATTATTTCTCTCCTAATATATATAGAGTCGAATGAACTACTCCTAATTGACAATAGGAGACACTTGCGCACGTCAAAAAACGACACCGCATCTTACTCTATGTAGTGAAATGCAAATAAATGAACGTATCTTAAGGACACTTTTTTCACAAATACCCCATGTAAGCGTTGTTGTGCCCAATCCTAACTTACTTCAATTGAAGGAAACACTCTTCATAGCAAATTTACGTTGTATGAACGTATTCCGTGACATTATGCAGTGCCTCTGGGGTCATGATGATCACGTCAACAAGTACAATCATGTTTTCATTACATATCTTTACAATGAGTTTCGCGATGAGCAGCACCTAAGGCGCGCCACCGAGACTTAACAGGGAGGCCGTGATAAACGCAGCAGCAGCTGCAGAATACAAACAGGTGATGGTTTTCATGAGTGCCAAACGGAAGCGCATCTGTCCGAATAGAATAGTGAATATTTCGTGAGAAGCGGTGTTTCACTTGGCCATGCCGGTCGTTTTCGGTCTGTGAGAACGATGAATCACAGGAGGTTTAAGAGAGCATGCACAACTCAAATTCTCACCACTCCAGTCTTAATCGCACAGGCTTGGAAATATTGCTGTATTATTTATTATATCTTGAATAAGCACAATGTTCTAATAGAAGTATGAGGTTAAGAAACACACAATTATTGCAATATATCAGAACAGCAGATGTTTTCTTCGGATAGCAATGAACCCTAAAAGAGGTGTTTAGTGAACTGCATTATATTTTAATGAACGTTCTGTTTAACACTCTTTTTTTCGTAGGTGCCTTGAAGTTTGTTCAAGTGAACTTTCACTGCAAGTACTTAAGTGCATACCGGAATAAACAAATCTTAAATTACATGAATTTACTTCATGAGTTGTTCAATGTCGCACAGCGGGCGGACGCTACAATGACTTTCTTTCATGCAATTTCACATAACATTTCATGTAAAGTTTGTACGGAGATGCATTGTGGTATGTCATACTTACGGGTTACAGATAAATTCATTGTTATATAGCACAATTTAGCTTGTATCCTAATGGGTATTATCCTGGAAGTGAGTCACATCATCCCTTTATCATGCAATATAATGTAGCAGTTCAATACTTTTATAAGCATACGTATCCAAGAGAACTAATACTTGTGCATTTCAGTGCCTGTAAAGCTTTACGACAGTTATCAAACAAATGGGAAAGCCATTGAAGCTCATACGAGCTATTCACAACCTATCGCACACAATATGGGATTTATCAGACAATATTTGAGTTGTGTTCTGAGATCGCACAGCAATTGATTTGTTTTAAAAGGACGTAACTTGTACTAAAAAATTAAACGCTGATTTCGCATCACTACACCTATGTTAAGGTTGATTGCTGCAAAAACTTTTCTAGTGGTAAGTTACTGTATAGGCAAGGCTGATAAAATCTAGCCATGATATAATGTGTTGCCACAGGAGCAAACCAAAAAGCTGGTTAGAAATAAAGTGAGCTTTGCCCGGTTCTTGTGTAGCTGTTCTATGTGCGACTGTAAAATAATATTGATCAATACACAGCCCAGTCCATCTGTGTTTAATGTTTCCCAGTCGAACCATGCGGGTGGTTCAAGTTCATGTGTTCACTTCAATATTTTTGCGGTAATGTGATAACATGCACCCATTGCGTTCTGCAGCGGAGCTGCAGTTAGGTCATTTTCCTCACCATGTGCCTGCTTCCTACGGCTAAGCTTTCTCTCGTTAAACTGTAAAACATGTGGAAGCGTCACGCTTGCGCAGAGACCAGCGAAAGCTGAAAGAGTGGCCTTTCAAGAACCTGTTGCAAACTATTTTGGATGATGACGATGATGATTGTGAGGATTGTGAGGCAGTATATTTTATGAAACAAAAATCAAAGATAAAAATAGAAGAAAGAGCAGAAAAACAGGGCGAAAGCTTATATGCGAAAAAGATAATCTATAAAGAAAGAAAAATAATTGCGTGGGTTTGGTGTCTTTTAATGGAATGCACTTGATGTACAATTCATGAAGTATATTATTTATAGTTAGAGTGAATAGATAAATTATAGATAATGTCTTCGATGCACTGATGCAACACGGCATTCTTCTTGATTCTCCTAAATAAATACAGCATCATAACTGACCCTAGTAGCAGTGCCCTAGTGCCGACGCCCCCATAAAGAGCAATGCTGACGTATACACTTCAAGGCCGCATTTTTGAAAAGGTTGTTTGAGAAATATTCCTAAAGCTTTGTTATCTTCGACATTCCATAAACACATCCTCGATCGTTCTGTTTCATTAACAAAGTTACATTGGGGTGAAGGAATGAATCCAGGCCGGTGAAAGCAAAAAAAGGGCAGCATATCCATGGAGTGAATGACGGATAGTGCAGCAAAGTATCCGTCCGTTTATTCGTTCTTGCTTCCATCCATCCATGCGTGCACCTGTGTGGCCGCCCGTGCGTCCATCTAGCCGCCCGTTCGTGCGTATGTTCATGCGTCCACACGTTCATCTGTGCGTCCGTCCCTGCTTTCGTCCATGCTTCTGCTCCGGCGTCCATCCATGCGTCCGTCCATGCATCTGTCTGTTGTTAGGAATTTGCTGTGTCGCGATGGTAGCGGTGGCGAAGAGTGGCGAGCAGTCGAGCGGACTTCGCTGAAGCCTTAGCCAAAAAGTTTCTCTACAGTTTTGAAGGGTCTCTCCCTTTCCAAGATAGCCCTTGTTCCCAGGCATTCGTAGTCGGCCTCATGCTCACTTTGACGCCATTCATCTTGACCACGTGCGCTGCGCAGCGGCTCCATCTCTAGCGCTTTATCATGCACCTTGGCGTCCTTAGCTATACGATGGACCTCGGCCCCTAACTCCTCGCGCTGCACCTCAACGTCTGGCTCTGTGAGACACACTTCGGCATCTTGAACCTTGTGACGGGCCTCAACGTCAGATACCCTTCGACTTTCCTCAGCGCCCCGCTTTCTCTGACGCACTTCAGTGGCTTGCTTATAGCAACGAGCCTCGGCGTCTTGCGCTTTGCTTCTGTCTTTATCATCTAACACTTTCCAGTGAGCGACATCATCAAGCGCCACGTGGCGGGTCTCTGCCTCCATCGTTTCACGTCGCGCCTCATCCTCAGGCTCTTTTCGGCAGGCGTCTACCTTTAGCGCCCTTCGGCGCGCTTCAGCGCTGTCCCTATTGCTCCGACTTTCCCAGTCAGCAGGACTCGAAAGAAAAAAACATCTTATCAAGGCATATCTAGCATGAATGAAGTCTCCTGCTTCCTCGAAGGGTAAGCAATTCAAAACATGCGCGATCTTGGGCGGCAACAACGTGGCGAGCTTCTCCACCAAAAGGTCGCGGCTAACACCCGCATTACTGCAAACAACTTCAAAATCTTCAAGAAAATGCGCGATGTTCTCACCTGTCTGAAAGTTGTGGAGCTGGTGATTCGCTCGCTCCCATTTAAGCGCTTGAATTTTAAGATCAAGCTCTCTCCTTTTTCGTTCTCTCCTTTTTCTCTCCTTTTTCGGCTCCTTTTTCGACTCTCCTCGGCTTGCCACTGTTCGTGACTTCTAGCTTCTCGCTCTTCGGCCTTCTGCTGTTCGTGCCTTTGAGCTTCGAGCTCTTCGCGGCTTTTCTCGGCCTTCTATTGTTCGTGGCTTCTATCCTCTCGCTCTTCAGCCTTCTGCTTTTCTTCACAGATGAGCTCCCTAAACTCGTCAGCTTCCTCGGCCGTTACATTCTCTGCTCGCATCACCTCGAGAATCGCTTCCCTTGTTTTAGCGGACCCTGTGGAAATCCCCATGGCTCGACAAATTTCGAGGAGGTCCTCCACAAGGTACTGCTCCATTGTGATCTCGTTTCTCGTGATGCTCTGCTATTGATATTCACCGTACTCTAAAGCTAATCTCATGGTCTAGAGCACGTGAATAATAAATTACAACAAACAAAACACAAAACGCTCTCCTAACATCTGCCTGTGCCAGAGAGGTCTGGCGAAATGAACAGTAAACGTTGGGCACTCACCCAACCAAAGTAGCCGACGATGGTCCAACTCGTGGCTGCCGTCGAACAGTATCAGGCCTTCAGGGATCCGGTCCAACTTGCCAATGTTGAGATCCGGGGTTGCTTGTCCCAGCTTGCCGAACGATGAGAACAGGGTAGCGTATACCAGCGTATCCAAACGCTGATATCAGGTCGGTCGTGCTCGAGCTTCCAGGGGTCTGATCCGGCGTGCCAAACGTAGGATATCGTATCCCACCGCTGCCACCACTGTTAGGAATTCGCAGTGTACTTCGCTAAAGCCTTTGCCCGAAGGCAAAGCAGGGAGGCAATCCGTTTTGAAAACAGCAACAAGAAGGAGCGTTTACTGTAGCAGGTTGTCGTTTGTACAGAGCCGGCCAGCACGACAACGTCGGCTGGGGCGAATCCTCTAACATCGGGCCGACTCGGCCTTAAATACTGTCCTGGTCCATTCTCTCAGACCAGTTCTTGGGCTCGGAGGGGGAGACGTAGCCATACCCGGAACTGCAAGGTGGTTCGGCGGAGGAAGCGACGTTATCCCCGGAACTGCACGGTTCTTCTGCACGGAAGGTGGCGCTGGGAGGGGGGGAAGCGACAGTTCGTTGGAACAGCGCTCGATCTCGTGAGACGTGCTCCCGAACGAGGAACATGTCTGTGGCACAACACAGACATGCTCTGTGAGTAAGTTTTAGATACGGCACTGCTACAGCCAGTAGCCTCGTTTAATTACTTAGGGGTCATGTTTGACTCGGACATGAACTGGAAATCGCATATAGAAAAGATATGCTCCAAGCTAGCATATGGGTGTCACACGCTACTAAAAGCCCGTGAATGTTTTGGCGCATCAATTTTGCGCATCCTATATTTTGCATTCGTGCACAGTCAGTTGAGCTACTGTATAGCATCGTGGGGCAGTACATATAAAACTCATTTGAAATGTATTGGCCGCCTGCAAAAGAGGGCAGTCCGGATAATTATATACTCAAACAGGACGGATACTGCAAAACCACTGTTTCTAATTTGAGTGTACTTCCACTGGACTCTGTTTACGTGTCTAGTGTTGCTGATATAGTGCATGGAATAATAAAACGTGATGACCCATTCCCATTAAGCACCTTTACGTTACCCGCGCGCTGTACAAGAGCTGCAGCGAATCACTGTTTTAATTTACCAGTAGCCATAAATGCCTATGGTCGAAGGCTCATAGAATTTCACGGCGCTCTCATATGGAATGCGATACCGACTGATGTGAAAGAGGCTAGAAATTTTCCATTGGCCATGAAGCATGCACCTCATGCGAACTTTCTACATAATACGTCCGCATAGTCATTTAGTATTATTATTATTATTATTGGGATTAGTATTATTCTAGTGCTATTATTATTCTGTGCTATAAGTAGCTATGTTCTGCGCTATGTTTCTTTGTATAGTTCAATCATATGTTTTTTGCTTTTTTCTGTTTTAAACATTGTATCCAGGTTGATGTCCTTTGTCGCTGTGTAACCGCTTGCGCAAGTATGTAGGTATGTCACACAATTGGTCCCTCTACTAGCCAGTTAGGCTATGGGACCAAACAAGTGTTTGCGAAGTTTTTTGTTACATTGATGTGAAAGTTACAATAAAAAAACACTGTGTGTCCGTTCGTGCACCTATTCAACATTCCAACTACCACCATCTCGCCACTTTTAATCATATATTCCTCATATAGAAGCACTGCCATCCAGCGGACATTCCAAGGACTGAACGAGAGGAGGCACACGCACAGTTTTTTACAGCTTGCGCTTCGTGTCTACTTCCCACCTTTAACCACCTCGAGTTCATGGTATATACTAGCTAGTTCACTGTATTCATAATATTGTGGCGCAACACTCGCTAAACCTTTCTAAAACCTAGGAGGCTACGCCCAGCGAGTATAACGTAGCAAGCCTTTCTTGTCTTCTGTGCGTTGTTCAACAATAAAAAAATTTGCAGCGTGCACATTAACTATAAGCCGAATTCTCCTGTCTCTCATTCCCCCTTAGCAGCCATTGGCATGTACATTG